CAAAACTTTGCGACCCCCCCAAATCCCCCCCAGCACCCCCCAAAAAAAAAATCACCCCACACCTCCAGCTGAGCTGGTTTATTGGAGGCGACTGAGGACAGAATACAGAAGGTCTGGGGGGGCTCCCCAAGAATCTGGGGGCTCCCCAAGGATTTAGGGGTATCCCTAGGGATTTGGGGGTTCCCCTCCTCAGATGAAGGTGAGGTGTCGCTCGGGGGGGACCCCGTACCCCAATTTATGCTCCTCGAAGAGGGCGACGAGTCTCTCCAGGTAGAGGCCATGCCACCGCTCCACCGTCTGGGGTGAAGGATTTGGGGTACGGGGGAGCACCAGGGGGGACCCCACTGTCAGGGGTGGGAAAGGGGGGGACCCAGGCATCGGGGTGCCCCCCCAAAATAAAATTAGAGGGGGTCCTCAGGGACCCAGGCAGCCGGGTATGCCCCCCCCTCCAAATCTGCCTTTATCCCAGTTGCTTGCAACAACCCCCCCAGGGGATTGGGGTTGGGTAATGGGGAGGTGGGGGGTGGGGGCACTGGGGCAAAGGGCCCCCCCAAATCCTGCCATGCCCAGCCCCCCCCCCAGGCATCCAGCTGACCCCCAGATCAGCCCCCCCACTCCAGAAGGATTGAGGGGTTCAGGTACCCCCCCCATCCCAACTGCACCCCCATATATGAGACCCCCCCACTCTAAACCCCATGGGATGGATTTGGGGTTCCCCCTCTGCATGAATTTGGGGGTGCCCCCCCAGGGGAACGCACCCATCCAGGCCCCCCCAAATCACCCTCCACCACCCTAGGGTGCCTAAGGGGTCACCCCACCCCAACAGCACTCCTATATATAAGCCCTCCCTCCAAACCCTATAGAATAGATTTGGGGGTGCCACCCCCCAGTTTTGGGGGCTTACCGACGGTGTGGATGGGTCGGCGGAAGGGCAGGAGCCCGAAGCTGTACTGAAAAACCCCCCGAGCGTGAAAAAGGGGGATGGCCACCCCCAAAATCCGTTGGAGTCGGAGCTGGAACCGCCGTAACCCCGATCCCGGGGGATTCGGGATTTGTCGAAACAGCTCGTTCTCCCCAAAAGAGAACACTGGCACCAAGGAGGCCCTGGAGGGGGGGGGGCAGGGAGGTA